GGTGGCGGCCCCGCCCCCGCCGGCCTGGCCGCCCTCTCCCCGCCTCTCCGCCCCCCCTCCCTGGGCTGCAACAGGTGCCTCCCGGAGCAGGAAGCTCGCGCCACCGCCGCTCAGCTCCCTCGGCGCGTCCGGGACCCGCTGCGCCAATCGCGCCATCCCCGGACCCGCGTGCGTCCCCACGAGGGAAGCGACCCCGCTGCTCGAGCCACCTCTCCACTCAGCGTCCTGCAGCCTTCGCCACCCCCGACGAGTGGCCACGGAGAAAGCCGTGCTCCCCTCGCTCACAACCCCGAAGCCCTCTCGCCGCCCTGCACGACATGGATGCCCCGGAGCAGCAGCCGGACCCCGACGGCGGGGACGCCCCAGGCCATGAGCCAGGGGGTAGCCCCCAAGTCGAATTCGACTTCTCCATCCTCTTCGACTATGACTATCTGAATCCTATCGAAGGTCTGTGGAGGCTCCCCTGGCCTGGAGCCCGAGCCTGGGCAGGAGCTTGGGCCCGGGGAGTGGGCACAGGGCCCCTCTTTGCACGAGATGCCACACTTCCTTGGGGGCTTGGAGGGGGGGCGCCCTAGCCAGGTGAGGGGGGGGGGAGCAGACGTCAGTGACCGCTGCCGCCCTTAGGGGGCGCTGGGCTCACTCTTGCCCATAGGGGCGTCAGTTTCCAGTTACTTGTGACTTCTCTCTGAGGGTCACTAGTGCTGTTAGCTCAGCAAGAGGTGGCAGGTCCCCAGACTGGGGGATCTCTGCTGGCCCCTTGCCTGGGACTGGCTCCCCAGAGGGCGATGCAAGTGATGTATTTGTGTTTGGAGGGAGGAGGTGAGGAAGACGAAGAACGGAGTTAGTAGGAACCGGGCTGACGCAGAGGCTGCCATCGAGCCTAATTATCAGGGCTGCGGAGCGGCTCCTCCCTCCCTGCAGGCACCGACGTGAGACAGCGCCGCCCCTGCCCCCCACCTCGTGTGCGCAGCGGTTGTTGGGGACTTTGTGTTGAAACTAAGGAAGAGGGTGTCTGTGTCTGCTGCTGGAGGATGGCTGACTTCGGTGTTTGAGGCCGGCCCATTTCCTCCCTGGGTTCTGCGGTGGCTGCATTTGAGAATCGTCCCCACGTGGACCATCTGATCTTTATTAAGTGATCTGCTACGCCACAGCCATCTCGGGGAGGGGGCTGCAGGGGGCTGGAGTTTGCCTTCAGGAAGACTGGGTCTATTTCTGCCAAAACCCAGTCCGTGCCTTCAACTCCCCTCTGTGGCTGGGGACTTCCCCAGGCTAGGCGGAAAGCTCCGCTGTCATTTCACGTGTTCAACAGGAGCACTGGTCAGAAGAGGAGGAGGGGGTGCAGGAGGTCACACGCCCAACCTCACTGTATTTTTCTGGTTAGCAGGTTGTCTTGGAAAAAAACAAAAATACCCAGCCAGGCTTCCTGATTTTGACAGCCCAGCCCAGCCACTATTGGTTGAAGGCTCAGGGGCAAGCTTAACTTCCAAATGCAGGCAGGCTTGCAGGCATCTGGCGCGTAGGATGGGCTTGTGCGCTCTGGCTGGGGTAGCAAGTGGGTCCAAGGTACGGAGGTTCCTGTTTCCCAGAGATGCTGAGTTAATGGGTGAATGAAGCAGCTTTCCCCTCCCTTCTGTCAGCGTCCTTACCGGCACTGGAGGGGAGGCGCTTGCTTTCACTCTGGGTTTCACCTGCACACGGATAAAGGAGATGGTAATTAGTAATAGTTTTGTGTTTTGGCTGGAGATGGAAATAATTAGCCAGCGAACGAGGCCAGTCTTCTAGACTGGCAATCTGGAGGCCATTCTTTGCTTTGAAAAGATACAATTAAGAATCTGCAAACAATCCCTACTCACATCAGTGGCTTTCTGTGCATTAAGATTAAAGTCATGTTTTGCAGGGAACTAATACACCCCTCCCAGATTTGCAATCAGCTAACATTTTTTTTCAGGGTTGGGAGGGCGGATTTCCGGGGAAATAGTTTCCAAGCCAAATCTGATGGGAGGTACTTTTTATAGTTTTTCTTGGCAAATGGTGCCTGGTGGCCACCAGTTGGGTATCAAAGTGAGCACAGTGAAAGCCCTGGAATCTGTTTTTTTCTTTTTTTAAAATCAGGTTTATTTTTTGGAACACTTTCAGATTAGAGAAAAGTAAAACAATAAAGATAGCAAAGAGAGTTCTTGTTTAGCCAGCACCTAATTTCCTTACATTATGGGCATCTTACATCAGTATTGGGTACCTTTGTTATCATTCGTGAACCAATATTGATGCGTTATTACTATTCTTTAATAGAATTATTTATTTATCTTTATTAGTATTTTTAAAATTGACTCTCTCTCTCTCTCTCTCTCTCTCTATATATATATATATATATATATATGCCAAGTCTGGGACTCAAACCATGGTCAGCCATGTGGCAATCCAGTGCCTTAACTATTATACCATCTACTGAGCCTGATTCATTATTTTTAACTAAGTTCATACTTTATTCAGACTTAGAGCATCCCTATTTTTGGTGACCTTGAGCATTTTGAAAAGTACTAGTTAGGTCTATTATAGACGGCCTTCAATTTTTTTTAAAATTATTTTTCTCATGATTAGAGTAGAGCCGTGAGTTTTGGGGAGGAGAACCCCAAAGGTAAAGCATCCTTCTCACATGTATCAGGGGTGCATATTAACAGCATGCTCCGTCATTGTCAGCGCCGACCGTGACCCCTGCCGAGGTCGGCCTCTGTCAGGAGTCTCCACTGTGCAGTTACTCCTTTCCAAACCATCCTCTTTGCAAAGAAGTTACTATGCGAAGCCTGCTCTTGAAGGGGAGGGAGTTATGCTCTGGAGCCTGTAAAATAGTGACTCTTTGCTGTGATGGAGGGAGCACAGAGGAGTCAACGCCCGGGAAGAGAAGGGACATTGTGAGTCTGAGCGGCTAGCTGGCATGTGCCAGATGTGGGCTTGGCTTCTGGTTCACCCAGATGTTCCTAAGTCACCTCTGTCTGCTTCCACGTGGTGGGACTCCAGGGTCAACGTTAGCTTTTATCTGGCCGTTGGGCTTTGCCCAGATTCCAGCACAGTGAGCACGCATGTGACATGGTACCCTCACTGGGCAGGAGCTTGGCAAAAACCATGGAAGGAAAAGGCCCTCATTGGTGACAGACAGAATGAGGGAATCCGGGGGAAGGCGGATGTCATTTCATGGAACTGTAGCCTGCCAGGAGCGTCAGACATTCCTGATCCCTTGTAAAGTCAACACGAGCAGGTAGGCACTATCATCACCCCCGCTCCACAGAAGAGGCATGAGGGCACAGAGGGATGAAGTGGGCTGAAGCAGCTTTTCCAAGAAAACAGAGCTGGTAAATGGTGGAGCTGAGTGTGGACCCAGCAGCCTGTTCCAGAGCCTGTGTTTTGAACTTCTGTATGTGTGGCTCCCATCCCTCATTTGATGAGAGACATAGGGAAGGACGCTGGCAAACTGCCTAGGACCCAGGCAAGGCTGGAATTTAGAACATTTACAACAGGATGATCTTGAACAAGACATTTAACCTCTCTGGACCTCTCTTTGCTTATCTGTAGAATGGCTGAAATAGCAATGGCTCATAGAGTTTTTGTCCATCTCGAATGGCTTATCCCATGTAAGTCAATGGGCAGAGTGTGATCCGTACTAGAGTTTCATTAAACCGTTGATTGGTTAGTAGAGGTGCTCAATTAAAGTGAGCCATTATTTTCTATCCAGTTAACTGCTGTGCGTGTGTCATCTTAGATCCTGGGGGATGAGGGGGAAGGAGACTCAGGCCATGCCCTCACTGAGCTGTCTCTGTCATTTTGTCTAATGCCATTGACTAATACCTTCAATAGAAGGTTATGTAGTAATGGAATGGTGGGCATCGCTGCCTTGTTCTTGACCTTAGCAACAGAACCTGGTGCTGGCTTTAGGGTGAGGTGTGTCTTAGTCCGCCACTGCATTCCCAGAAATATCTACACTGGGATTCATAGGAACAGAGGTTGACTTGGCTCATGGTTTGGAAGTCCAAGGTCCAGGAGCCAATTTCCAATGAGTTACTACAATATGGTGGAGAGTAGGATTCTGAGCAGCATGGCTGTCCATAAGTTCGTGCTTCTTCTGATCTCTGCCCTTTTTATAAACTGACGAGGACTCAAAGGGGCCCACCCTCATAACCTTATCACAGCCATAGGTCCCATCCTGGGACACTATGAAGGGGTGAAGGTTTCACTTAACACCCTACAGTACAACCAAGTTCCAACACTTGAATTAGGGATAGGGGCATTCAAACCAAAGAAAGGTGTATGTATTGGGTCATAGAAAAAGTCATGATATATTTTTTTTCTATGCAAAAATGTGTCATAACTTTTCTGATGATCCCAGTATTTCATTAGGTTAAGGAAATATTCATCCATTCCTATTTCTTTGAGAGTTTCTATTTTTTAAAACTTCTTGAAATTTAAAAATTATTTATTTATTATTTATTGTTATTTTAATCTGCTATAGGGCATGTGTGCTCATCAAAGAGAGAGAGAGAGAGAGAGAGAGAGAATGAAAAAGCAAGCCACCAAGCTTAGGACTTGAACCATGGTTGGCCATGTGAGCATCCAGTGCCTTAGTCTCACACCATCAGCTGGCCCTGAGAGTTTCTATTAGAAATAAGAGTTAAATTATATCAAAGACTTTTAGAATCTGTGGAAAAATACAATTTTATTCTTCTTAGACTTAGTACGTGTTGGATAATACTAGGGTCGTTGGAAAAGTCATGATATATTTTTCTATGCAAAAATGTGTCATGACTTTTCTGACAACCCAATAATAGATTCCATAATATTGAAACATTCCTATCTAGCTGCTATGTAGTATTTTCTTATGGTGGTGGTGGCATCTGATAGTATTTGATCTTTTTCAACAGTATTCATGACTGATGTTTGTCTGTAATTTCTGGTTTTATGTGCTAGCAGGTTTAGATTCTTTTCCAGACTCGGGAATGACTTATGTATCACCAGGACTGAGTGTTCAGAATATGTGATAGAATTCTTTGGCAAAGCCATCTGGACCTGGTGCTTTTTTGTGGCATGGTGTCTCAATGGCTTTCTCTATTGTGTCTGTGGGAATAGGTCTGTTTATGCTCTCTGTTTCTACTGAAGTCAAATTTGGTGCATTGTGTCTTTCTAAAATTCTTTCATCTGTCTAGGTTTTCACATTTATTTGCCTAGAGATGTGCAGAGTAGACCCTTGCTGTTCTAGTGGAGGAGACAGCCAAGTATAACTTGATAAGGAGAGTGGGGCAAGGTTGTGGGAGTCTAGGCCAGGGCCTCTGATCACCCACGGGGGGGGGGGGGGGGGCAGATATGAAGGCTGTCTGCAGACAGCTCAGCATTGAATTTCCTTGTGGACCCAATGGAGTCTTGCTTCTAATTCATAAGACATTGGGAGAGACAGATAGGTG